TGTGTGGAAGTGTGAGTGTGCTGGAAGTATGGCTGTGTGGTGGAGTGTGTGTTATGTGGTAAAGGTGTGGCAGTTCGTATTCAGAGGTAGGTGGTGTCGTAGTTATTGAGGGCTGTGTGGGAAAAGTTGGTCTCCTTGATGTGCTAGAGGTAAATGGTCTGGCGTGTTATCCTGTTGGTAAGGGTGGTGCTTTGTTGTAGAGGGTAAGGCCTTGTAGTGGATCAGCTTGGTAAGGGTGTGGGAACTAAATGACTTTCAAGGGTGAGAAGATCGTTTTTGGCCAGGACTAGCTGTCGTAGACCACAAAGTTGGTCACCTTAATTGGCATCATCCAATAATCCAAAACAACACTTAAATATCCCTTTATAACCAACATATAATTAAATGCATCTCATAACAAGATTAGGTAAACTTGAAATGTCAGACCTTAAAGTTTGATTATGTGTTGAAATAAAAGGAAATTTCGAATATTAAGAACATTTTAAATGGACTGACTTCAGGACTAGATCTTAACCTAACAAATCTCTTTTACCCGATTGGTTGGCCTGCCATACTAATCCGCATTAATCACACACATCATTTAACAAGAGGATAATTTCATTTATACTTAGTTAACTAAGAATAATAGAAGTGATTAATGATAAAAGATCGAACCTCCACTAGGTGGATCGGATTTTGTTAAAATAAATAAAAGTGATCACTTTGTTAATATTATAATTGAAAATTAATATAAGCCATGAAACTGACTTATAAATATCTTTATAAATAATTTTTTTCTGCCCCAGATTTAGGTGTCTGTGCCTGCTTTTCTATATAATTTTTCATCTCCGTGCATTTTTGCACGACGCATCTCCATTTATTACAGGAGGGAGTTAATGTTGCAGTTTTATGACTGTAAGTGTAAGCGCGCTCTGGCAAGACAGTGAATGGAGTGATTGATGATAAAAGTTTTCTCTTTTCGGGCCACCCTGCCTAGGTGGGAGACAGCCGATGTGTTAAAAAATAAATGAATAAGTATAATATATATATATTATATATATAATATATATATATATATAATATATAATATATAATATAATATAATAATATAATATATAATGTACATATATATGTGTGTGTGTGTGTGTTTGTACTCACCTATTTGTGGTTGCAGGGGTCGAGTCTTAGCTCCTGGCCCCGCCTCTTCAGCGGTTGTTACTGGGTCCTCTCTCTCCTTACTCCATGAGCTTTATCAAACCTCGTCTTAAAACTATGTATGGTTCCCGCTTCCAGTACTTCACTTTCTAGGCTATTCCACTGCCTGACAACTCTATGACTGAAGAAATACTTCCTAACATCCCTTTGACTCATCTGAGTCTTCAACTTCCAATTGTGACCTCTTGTTTCTGTGTCCCCTCCCTGGAACATCCTGTCTTTGTCCACCTTGTCTATTCCGCGCAGTATTTTATATGTAGTTATCATGTCTCCCCTGACCCTCCTGTCCTCAAGTGTCGTGTGTGTGTGTGTGTGTGTGTGTGTGTGTGTGTGTGTGTGTGTGTGTGTGTGTGTGTGTGTGTGTGTGTGTTCCTGTGATATAAAGAACTCTGTATACATGACTGAAGACATGACCCAGGATAAGCGCTATGTCTGAGACCTGTCAAACAGACATGAGTCAAGGTGACACACCTCTATCAACGTGACTCAAGACACTATGCAGTGACGCACGACTTTTACCTGATGCCTTCCCCTCCTCCTTGTCCCTTTTCTTCTCTTCTTCCTTCCCCTCTACTCTCGCCTTCACCTTCTCTTCTTTTAATATTCCTTTCCCACTTCTATTCTTTTTTTTTCCTTCTCTTCTCCTTTCCTTCCCCAATCATCATAGGAACCTAATGGTTACAATGATAAGCAGAATTTTTAAAGAATTAGACCGGTAAGCCAGCGGAAGGCCTCGGTCAGATGACCAAGAGCTCCAACTGTGGTTTATCATATAACTAAGAACCGCGTCAGGAAACACTTGTTCTGTTTCCTGACAAACAGTATACCTACCTACGTACCTCCCCAGTCATTCTTTAATTAGGGCATTGAATGTGATTTGCTCTCTCTCTCTCTCTCTCTCTCTCTCTCTCTCTCTCTCTCTCTCTCTCTCTCTCTCTCTCTCTCTCTCTCTCTCTCTCTCTCTCTCTCTCTCTCTCTCCCTGTCACAACAAAGTCGGGACTCCCGTGGGAGCTGAGAAGAGAGAGGGGTCTTCCCTGTCTCATTCTCTCCTCTCCTGCGCTATCATTTCTCAGGCTGGTTGTTTGTGGTGGTGGGGCTGGTAGTGGACGGTTGTGGCGATGGTGGCAGCCGTGGTGCTAGTAGTGGTGTTATTGGTGGTGCTTCTTATCTGTGGTGATCGTATTCGGGGAAGGTTGTGGTGAGGGTGGTAGCTGTGGTGCTGATGGTGCTATTAGTGCTGATTATTTGTGTAGGTGATGGTTATCGTGGTGCTGCTGGCCTAATATTATATTGTTTAATGGGGTTTAAAGCCTATCGAGTACGCAAGTTGCATGTCACCTGTTCACCCCCCATCAGGGATGTTTAATTCCTAATATACGGATTACAGTACATTTTCAGCATATATACACCCAGAGATATACACATCTTGGTGTGTGTATATATCCTCTTAGACTAGTCTAAAACCGCGGGTAACTCCTATGTATTCCTGTGTTATAAAGAATATGTGCTCAATTCTTACAGGAATAATTACTGACACTTCTGTATGTAAACATGAGTAACACAAACACAACGTTATATAAAAAGGCGACGACTGTAAACATTAATACAACACTCACACTAAACATTCACTGGTTATATAAAAACGATCTCACCAACAATATGAACGATTGTGTAGATTTATGCAAGACGCATTTTAGTTACCTGGGGGGAGGGGTTCTGTTACTAACTACAGCAAGCGTAATGGTTATGGTGGTGGTCGGGACTGTTATGGTAGTGGAGGTGGTGCTACAGTTGGTGAGGTTGGTGGTGGTGGTGATACTGTTAGTGAAGCTCGGGGTGGTGCTGTTAGTGGTTGGTGGTGTAACTACTGTTGGTGGTGCTTGTGGTGCTGTTTGGTGTGTTGGTGATGCTGGAGATGCTGTTGGTGGTGTTGGTGATGCTGTTGGTAGTGCTGGTGCTGATGATGGTGGTGCTGGTGATGCTGTTGTTGACGTTAGTGGTAGTGGTGCTTCTCTTCTTGCTAAACCTCCTCTTCCACCTCTTCCTCATCCTCCTTACTGTGCCTTCAGGATCTTTTCACCCCATTTCCAGCTATTTACCCACGTCAGGACTCATGAGATATATTTACGTTGCTCTCTTATCACATCCACAGACGTACAACACTGCCTCTTATGTTCACTGTTCAGTTTATGAAGAAAATTACAAGCAACAAGATTCCTTAGATGCATTGTGCTTTAAATATATTCCTTTATTATGGATAATAACGTATATGTTGTAACATAATATACAATAAATATATATATATATTTTATTAAATATATATATTAATATATATATTATATATATATATATATATATATATATATATATATATATAATATATATATATATATATATATATATATATAATATACATAATTAGCAAGAACTCATTTAAAATTAAGTTCTTTCCAAAATAAATCTTATACGTTTAAAGATATATTTTTTTTTTCATTTATATTAATGTAAAAATTAATGCTTTTGTACCAAAAGAATCTTAGAAAACTTACCTAACCTTATTATAACAAGCGCAATTTAATTTAGCCTAATCCAACTAAATTTATTTTAGATAAGTTTACAATAATTTAATAACAAACAAACCAATAAAATATATTTTTTTTTCGTTAGGTTCAGAATTATTTTTGCGAAATTATTGCATACACAAATTTTCCCTTGCCTTATTCGGCAGGAAGGGGGTTCCTATTTAAGCCAAAAATCGCACGACTCACGAAATCGTAATGAAACGATTGTAAACAAACCATACCACGGGTGGGATCAGAATCCGCGATCAGTCTTAAAATTCCAGACCGTCGCGTTAGCCACTGGGCCAGCTAGCCACAATAAGATTCATCCAACTAGGTACATTTCTACACCATACGAAGGTTTTGAGGGGACTTGAGCTAGAGTTCGTCACGACCACGTTAGCTGGAGATTCGTCTGTAAAAATTTGCATGTGTGGTCACAGTGGTGCCTATGCTAACCTTCCTATGGTGTAGAAATATACCTAGTTGGATGAATCTTATTGTGGCTAGCTGGTCCAGTGGCTAACGCTGGACTTTTGAGACTCTCTGATCGCGGGTTCTATCCCCACCCGTGGTATGGTTTCTTTCAAAATCGCACGTTTGAAATAAAATTCGCTCGTCTGCCTATTATCTTTATAGAGTAGTTATCTTGCTGCTCTAATTACCACATGGTAATGAAAGAAATGTGCAGATATTTATATAAGAAATGAGACCTCGAAGGGGATTTCTAACTCTACACCCACTACAAGCAGCTCGGATACTTACAATTCTATGGTCCTCTGCATTGTTGAATTAATCCGATAATTCGGACTTACTTGGTTTTTAAAGAACGTTGAAATATTATTGTGTTCATAACTTTGCAGAACAACCTGTTAAAGAGTTTAATATTTCTTTGTTAACCACGTTTGTATTTCCTCTTCTGGTACGGAGTTATTTTTTTTTTTTATCGCTGTTTCGTGTCATTGAATCCCCTAACACTTCAAGCAACTTTTAATGTTTGTATGTTCCATATGATGAACCGAGATGAAAATGGCCCATAAAAATAGCTGAGGTCAAAGTGTTTTGCGTGTAATCTTCTCTATGTAATTACCTCTTGCTCTTTTGAAGATAATTGCTCCTCTTGTTATATACCCCTCTTATTCTTTTCTAACCTCCCATTCTCTGATCGAGCCTCCACTTCTCTTTTAAGCTGATTGACCCCATGTGGATTTAACGCTTCACGGAGACATGCTTGTTTACTGCAGGGACCTGTCAGAGACGTCCATCACCTCCCTGCCTACGCTGGGTCTGACAGACCTGGAGTTCCTCTACTTAGAGCGGACGCCTAGCCTCAAGGTGTTCCCTTCAGTCTACTCCTTCGAGACTATCCAGGAGGCCCACCTCACCTATCCTTACCACTGCTGCGCCTTCCAGTTCCCTGAGCAGCATGATCCCAAACAGTACGTGAGGCACCAGGTACGTGATAGTAGGCTTCAATATATATATATATATATATATATATATATATATATATATATATATAATATAAAATATATATATAATATATATATATATCAGTGCAGAAGAAAACTGGGAAACAAAAGATATGATTAGGAAAGCTTATCGAGAACATTCTGAAGAGTCGTGTGGTATCCATTAATGCAATAAGATCACAGTAAACAGGTGATTTCAGAATATACAAAACAACCACTGTGAAAGAATAGAGAAATTCCAAGCTCTTTCGTGACTACTCACATTATCAAGGAACTATGAAAGTAAAGCATCCAAGGAAGGTATATAAGAGGTCTGGCCAACACCTCACTATCAGATCCCACAACGGTTAAACACCTGACGCGCGCCGGCCCAACCGGACAGGTCCTTCGCACAACCCACCAACAAACTATTCGACCCAAAAAAAAATTTAAAATTATTATTTGTCCAGTGTATTATTAAATTCTTCCCAAATTCTATTAATTATAAATGGATCTAATTTATATAAACCAAAGGAAATATTCATATTATTGTCAAAACTGCTTTTTGTGAAACAAGATTCAATTATATTCCTGTCGACCATGGACTTGCTTGATACTAATTTCTCAACTTTTTGAAAATCAATTGGATGGTTAAAATCTCTTACATGAATAAATAGAGCATTGGAATCTTGTCCAGTTTCTAATGCTATATTTATGTTGTTTTAATCTTAGTTCGAGATTTTTACCAGTTTGACCGTAATAAACTTTATCGCAAATTTTACAAGGAATCTTATAGACACATCCATCAGCATTTTGGGGGGAATTCTTTATCAAAAGTTTTTTTTACTGTATCAAGATTTTTGAATACAACTTTAATATTAAAAGTCTTAAGAAGAGAAGGCATATCAACCAAGTTTTCATGATAAGGGAGAACCAACATATTTTTAGTTGAATAAGGCTGGTTGTCCCTTTTTGGATTGTAAAAAGTATTTCTAGCAACTTTAAAAGATTTATCAATTACATTTCTTGGGTATTTTAAATCATTACCTATTTCATAAATTTTGGATATTTCCTCATTTATGAACTCAGGACTACAAATTCGTAAAGCTCTTAAAAACATTGATGAGAAAACAGACAGTTTGACTCTATCTTGATGCGAAGAATAATAGTGGACATAGGAACAGTTATTTGTAGGTTTTCTGTAAATTTTAAATTTGAATTCATTATTACCCTTAATAATTAAAACATCTAGAAAATTCAATGAGTTATTTTCTTCAAACTCAACAGTAAAGTTTATAGAATGGGCTAAGCTATTTAATTTTCCAAGGAAATGGTGTATATCTACATTTTTGGGCATAAGACACAAAATATCATCAACATATCTGAACCATTTAGCTCTATTAGGGAGGATTGTGTTAAGCAACCTTGTTTCAAAAAATTCCATGTATAGGTTACTAAGAACAGGTGAAAGAGGATTTCCCATTGCCATACCAAACTTCTGAGTGTAAAACTTATCATTAAATACAAATTTTGCATCAACAATGCAAAGTTTAATAAGTTTAATGATAGTAGGAACTGACAATGGTAAATCATAGTTAACGAGTTCTTCAGATAAGAAACTTAATAAATCATCAACAGGAACTTTCGTAAACAAGGAAGTAACATCAAAACTATATATAATATATATATATATATATATATAATATATATATATATATATATATATATATATATATATATATATATAATATATATATATATATATATATATATATATATATATATATATATATATATATATATATATATATATATATATATATATATATATATATATATATACATGTACATGTTAGACAGGAACGAATGGAGACAAATGGTTTTTAGGACTTGACGTGCTGTTGGAGTGTAAGCAAGGTAACATTTATGAAGGGATTCAGGGACACCGGCAGGCCGGACTTGAGTCCTGGAGACGGTAAGTACAGTGTCTGCACTCTGAAGGAGGTGTGTTAATGTTGCAGTTTTATAACTGTAGTGTAGGCATGCCTCTAGCAAGACAGTGATGGAGTGAATGATGAAAGTTTTTCTTTTTCCGCCCACCCTGCCTTGGTGGGAAACGGCCGATGTGTTAATATAATATATATATATATATATATATATATATATATATATATATATATATATATATATATATATATATTATATATATATATATATATATTATTAAGTAATTTTACAGATTTAATGAATATTTGTCTCTTAGCCTATTGGCCTCCTGATCGTCTTCCTCAATACTTCTGTGTCCTTCATTCTCTCCCTCATCTACTGTCTCCCTATCTCTCTCTCTCTCTCTCTCTCTCTCTTCTCTCTCTCTCTCTCTCTCTCTCTCTCTCTCACTCTCTCTCTCCTCTCTCTCTCTCTCCTCTCTCTCTCTCTCTCCTCTCTCTTCCCTCTCTCTCTCTCTCTCTCTCTCTCTCTCTCTCTCTCTCTCCTCTCTTCTCTCTCTCTGTCTGTCTCTCTTCTCTCTCTCTCTCTCTCTCTCTCTCTCTCCTCTCTCTCCTCTCTCTCTCTCTTCTCTCTCTCTCTCTCTCTCTCTCTCTCTCTCTCTCTCTCTCTCTCCACCACATTAAGTTAATCACTTTGCTTTCTTCCAACAGGAATTTATCCGTAAAATGGAACAAGAACATTGTTCAGAGCTGATGTCACCCACTTCGTCAGTGATGTCTCCCATCACTCGTGTGAG